ACTGCGGCGCTTGCTGCTGCGCTTGCTGCTGCTGCGGCGCTTGCTGCGCTATCTGCTGCTGCGGCGCTTGCTGCGCTATCTGCTGATGCGGTGCTTGCTGCAGTGCTTGCTGCTGCTGCGGCGCTTGCTGCAGTGCTTGCTGCTGCTGCGGCGCTATCTGCTGCTGCGGCGCTATCTGCTGCTGCGGCGCTTGCTGCTGTGCTTGCTGCTGCTGCGGCGCTTGCTGCTGCTGCGGCGCTTGCTGCGCTAGCTGCTGCTGCGGTGCTTGCTGCTACTGCGGCGCTTGCTGCAGCGCTTGCTGCTGCTGTGGCGCTTGCTGCGCTATCTGCTGCTGCGGCGCTTGCTGCTGTTGCGCGCTTGCTGCTGCTGCGGCGCTTGCTGCAGCACTTGCTGCTGCTGCGGTGCTATCTGCTGCTGCGGCGCTATCTGCTGCTGCGGTGCTTGCTGCTGTTGCGGCGCTTGCTGCTGCTGCGGCGCTTGCTGCTGCATATGCTGTTGCGGCGCTTGCTGCTGCTGCTTGCTGCGCTATCTGCTGCTGCGGCGCCTGCTGCTGCGCTGCTATCTGCTGCTGCGGCGCTTGCTGCTGCGCTATCTGCTGTTGCGGCGCTATATGCTGCTGCTGCGCTTGCTGCAGCGCTTGCTGCTGCTGCGGCGCTTGCTGCGCTATCTGCTGTTGTGGCGCTTGCTGCTACTGCGGCGCTTGCTGCTGTTGCGGCGCTTGCTGCTGCTACCTGCGCTTGCTGCAGTGCTTGCTGCTGCTGCGGCGCTTGCTGCGCTATCTGCTGTTGCGGCGCTTGCTGCTGCTGCGGCACTTGCTGCTGCTGCGGCGCTTGCTGCTGCTGCGGCGCTTGCTGCTGCTGCTGCGCTTGCTGCAGCGATTGCTGCTGCTGCGGCGCTTACTGCTGCTGCGGCGCTTGCTGCAGCGCTTGCTGCTGCTGCGGCGCTTGCTGCGCTATCTGCTGTTGCGGCACTTGCTGCTGCTGCGGCGCTTGCTGCTGCTGCGGCGCTTGCTGCTGTTGCGGCGTTTGCTGCTGCTGCTGCGCTTGCTGCTGCTGCGGCGCTATCTGCTGCTGCGGCACTTGCTGCGCTATCTGCTGATGCGGTGCTTGCTGCAGCGCTTGCTGCTGCTGCGGCGCTATCTGCTGCTGCGGCGCTTGCTGCTGCGGCGCTTGCTGCTGCGCTGCTATCTGCTGCTGCGGCGCTTGCTGCTGCGCTATCTGCTGTTGCGGCGCTATATGCTGCTGCTGCGCTTGCTGCAGCACTTGCTGCTGCTGCGGCGCTTGCTGCGCTATCTGCTGTTGTGGCGCTTGCTGCTGCTGCGGCACTTGCTGCTGCTGCGGCGCTTGCTGCTGCTGCGGCGCTTGCTGCAGCGCTTGCTGCTGTTGCGGCGTTTGCTGCTGCTGCGGCGCTTGCTGCAGCGCTTGCTGCTGCTGCGGCGCTTGCTGCGCTATCTGCTGTTGCGGCGCTTGCTGCTGCTGCTTGCTGCGCTATCTGCTGTTGCGGCGCTATATGCTGCTGCTGCGCTTGCTGCAGCGCTTGCTGCTGCTGCGGCGCTTGCTGTGCTATCTGCTGTTGCAGCGCTTGCTGCTGCTGCGGCGCTTGCTGCTGCTGCGGCGCTTGCTGCGCTATCTGCTGCTGCGGCGCTTGCTGCTGCTGCGGCGCTTGCTGCAGCGCTTTCTGCTGCTGCGGCGCTTGCTGCTGCTGCGGCGCTTGCTGCTGCTGCGGCGCTTGCTGCGCTATTTGCTGCTGCGGCGCTTGCTGCAGCGCTTTCTGCTGCTGCGGCGCTTGCTGCACTTGCTGCTGCTGCGGCGCTTGCTGCTGCTGCTGCGGCGCCTGCTGCTGCTGCGGCGCTTGCTGCTGCTGCTGCTGCGCTTGCTGCAGCGCTTGCTGCTGCTGCGGCGCTTGCTGCTGCTGCGGCGCTTGCTGCGCTATCTGCTGTTGCGGAGCTTGCTGCTGCTGCGGCACTTGCTGCTGCTGCGGCGCTTGCTGCTGCTGCGGCGCTTGCTGCAGCGCTTGCTGCTGTTGCGGCGTTTGCTGCTGCTGTGGCGCTTGCTGCAGCGCTTGCTGCTGCTGCGGCACTTGCTGCACTTGCTGCTGCTGCGGCGCTATCTGCTGCTGCAGTGCTTGCTGCTGCTGCGGCGCTTGCTGCGCTATCTGCTGTTGCGGCGCTTGCTGCTGCTGCGGCGCTTGCTGCTGCTGCGCTATCTGCTGTTGCGGCACTTGCTGCTACTGTGGCGCTTGCTGCTGCTGCGGCGCTTGCTGCTGCGCTTGCTGCAGCGCTTGCTGCAGCGCTTGCTGCTGCTGCGGCGCTTGCTGCTGCTGCGGCGCTTGCTGCATCGCTTGCTGCTACTGCGGCGCTATCTGCTGCTGCGGCTCTTGCGGCTCTTGCTGCACTTGCTGCTGCTGCGCTATCTGCTGCTGCGCTTGCTGCGCTATCTGCTGCGGCGCTTGCTGCTGCTGCAGTGGCGCTTGCTGCAGCGCTTGCTGCTGCTGCGGCGCTTGCTGCTGCTGCGGCGCTTGCTGCTGCTGCGGCGCGTGCTGCAGCGCGTGCTGCAGCGCTTGCTGCTGCGCTTGCTGCTGCGCTTCCTGCTGCGCTTGCTGCTGCTGCGGCGCTTGTTGCAGCGCTTGCTGCTGCTGCAATTTCAATATTGCAATATTTCAGTTTCTTTTTTAAGAAATTTGCAAAACTTTCTACATTTGTTTTTTTCTGTCAAGATGTAGCCGAGTGTACATTAATGAGAAATAAAATGAACTTTTTTGATTTTAGCAAATGGCTGCAATGAAACAAAGAGTGAAGAATTTAAAGGGGTCTGAATACTTTCCATACCCACTGTATACACACACATACATACATACACATATACATACATACACATATACATACACACACACATATATAGTATTTCCATACTGTAGGAAAATATAATTATAATACATTTAAAATATAAAGGTTCAAGCACTTTATAGTTAAGAGCCTACTTTTAATAGGCTATATTTAAACATCCAATATCAATGTGTTAGCTTGGAGCTGGTTGATATGAATTTGTGATAAGAATTTGATAAAAGACATAATATGATAAAACATTATAATAAGTCAGGCAGTGATTTTAATTTATTTATAATGACTAAGTTAGATGAACTGAGTCGGTACAGTACAGTAGTCTACCTGATCCATTAGCTAAACAGTGTATCATTCCAGTGAAAACCACCGTCTACAATGTTAATGATATGAATCATATTAATAATATGAATTAGTTTTTGTTTCAGTGAGGGAGTGTTCATGGCAGAGCCGATTGAAGTTTAGCTAGCTTAAAAGTTATCTTTTAAGCTAGCTAGCTTAAAACGTTAGCTAAGCTAACATTTAGCTAGCTTAAAAGTTCTCTTTAAAAGTTCCCAAACATTTAAAATGTATGACAGTGGTGATGAAGTTATTAATAATTATCAAAACTCTTTTAAAAGTTCTCTTTTAAGCTAGCTAGCTAAATGTCGACGCTAAAACACATAAAAACCACTGAAAGTGTTTAAATCTCACATTTTCCATGGTGGAAGTCAGTTGTATCTCTTCAGTCAGTCTCTGTGAGTCTGTAGTTGATGTCGGCATGTAACAAATCGTCTGTAGAAGCAAAACTTTGCAACAAATCATTGAGAGAAAATTGAGAAAACACTGTTCTTGACGGTCTGAGGCGTTGTTTATGTTTAAATATATCATTGTATATTTATGAAGCGCTGAGATGTAACCTAGCAATGATGGAATCCTTCACGTCCATTTTGTTTTCACAGTCACGTCTACGTATAATTACTTGTATATTTACATATGTATGCATATTCTATTACAGTATTTTATTATTGCTTTCGTCTTAGTTATATCGAGAACTTCTTCATGCAAAGAGCCAAACTGATGACTTTTACATCTACATAAAAAAAATGTAACTCTGAAGCAGTTTATGAAGTTTCGATAATTATTAATAACTTCATCACCACTGTCATACATCTTAAATATTTGGGAACACAATATGGTTAAAAATAAGGCATATTTGTAGGTTTCTGTGTAAATTACTTCACCAACAGATTATTTTCATCAGAATAATAATTCCAATCACCAGCTTTTAATAAAAGCCTTAAGATTTGTAAAGACAAGTACAAACGTTATTTTACCAAACCTCAAATATGTAGACAAGTCAGCAAAATTGACAAAAATGTAGACAAAAAAGTCAGCTTTAATGCAAGTCTAAAAAGAGCTTTAGGTGGATTTATTTTCTTTACTAAAGACAAATACAGTATTTAGTTTATTAGAATAACAGCAGGTGTAGCCTACATCTATTAAATACGGTCTCACCAAAAAGCTACATTTAAATTAGAACGTTTCTTCACTAAATTAAAACGATGTTGTGATAAGTCAAAAGTCAGTGTTAATTATGCGAGTTCATATCAGAGTCTGAGTGAAATTCAGCAGAACATCACATGGAAGTTCACATGGAAGAATTTATCATTTATTATTTCTATCAGACCAAATCAAACACAACACACAGCTGCTCCCCATAAACTGAACACATTGTATGAAGACAATACTATATTGCACAGTGTGAAGGCTATTTGGTCCTGTTTGTTTGTTGTTTACCAGGATATCTCAAAAACAGCATAACACACTTCAATGACATTTGGTGCAAAGTTGGGCCATGAACAAGAGAACAAATGGTTTTTGATGGGAGAGCACCACCATGAGGACTTTTATAAAACACTTCCCGTTTTGGCTGAGAACTCTTGAAACATGAGGTCTCAAATCACACCTAGGTTTTCATGGATTCCTTCATTAATAATGAATCTGACCAAAACAGAGTTTCTGCAATTTGAAATGGTTAATATTCCATCAGCTGTCTTTACTTCACCAGAAAGATGAATGTTGAATCAATTTATACACAGCTTATTCATATTTACAACTATTGGAAAATAAAGACTTGACATGTCTCTGATCATCATTGTGAATTTGTATTTGGTCTCACACTTCACTCACAGCCATCAAATACTGTTCATAAGTCCTTATAATAGTGTTATAGTAGCTTTCATACAATAGCTAATAACTTACAGTGCTGTCACTTCACTTAAAACTCATAAAGTTATGCTATAAGGCGTTATTGATGTTTGTAACAGATTATTCCATGTGTCTGAATAAAGTTATGGTAGTTATAATGTGCTGTGTAACACAGGACTCATATTCTTCTTTTTGATGTGTTCTCATTATTACTATGAATATTAACAGTATTATTGTGATTATCGTCATTATCAAAAACTTGTAAACAATCATCCACAACTTCCCCAACACTGACAAACTCCCATCTGCCTATAAACTATTATATTCATAATTTGTTGACAAGGCAGCACGCACACACACATTCTTTATAACCCTAAAGAGTTTTATGAAGCCTTATGAATTTCAAACAAAGAAACAACTCAATCTCATCAAACTTGTGCTGCTGCTGGAACTCTTCACTGGCTGAAGGAGGACAGCACACACACACACACACACACCTGTTCACTTCATCAATCTCTATTTATTTACGTTTCCACATGTGTCTTCTTCAGGGGGAGCAAGAACACTTCTTCTTTGGGGTTTTATGGCATCAATTACGTGGCATTGCTGCTACCTCCTGGATCTAGATCAATTCTGTGCTATCTGCATACCACAACCTTTTTTACTAAATCAGTATTATCTTCACACTAATGTGTATGTTCACACCGTTAGTTTGTATTTAGTATTCTTTCCTTTTAGTTTATTAAATACTTGTAGTCATCACACAGCAGCAGGATCGATGTGTCTCCACATTGAAAGAGGCGTTCTGCGCATTTTACGCACGTGGCACAGCCTCGTAAACTTCATTAATTAGGCCTTCATTAATTATTAAATCTCTCATCAAGATCAGTGAGGATCTAACGGTAGTGACCTGACCGTAAAAACATCTGGAAGACAGCAGCCGTCCTCAGGATGAGTCCATCTCCACCAGAGCTGTCGGGACATTTTGATTATATATATATATATATATATATATATATATATATATATATATATATAGCTAAAAATACTCAATTTGCTATGGATAAAAAAAAAAAATTATGTTATATCCTGTCGATTGTTGCTGCTTAAATTAAAAATCGTTCAATATTTGCAACAGAGACAACACGTTTACATGTGTTATTTTACCACACGTGCTTCAGTATGACTCGTTTCATTACACAGATGAGACGATCATTACGCACAGACGAGAAACACTGAAATCCAGTGTTTCTTGTGTAAATATTTACTCACTCCATACAGCACCAGCTGTGCTGTGAGGACGTCCCCTGCCGGCAAGTACGGGAATATTAAGCAGTGAGCCGGTTGTTGCCCACTGGTATACGGCGGCGCTGCACTCCCAGAGATGCCTCGCCGACTCAGGCGCACCACAACCTGGCCGGAGTCAGTTGAGTGAGCAGATTTTTCCCCAGGAGTGCATTACGGACCTGACTGGGAGGATCTCGTGAGCCACCATCCAGGACAGGTCCAGAGTCTGTTTGGAAGAGCAGAATGGTTCACATTGCACCAAATGAGACACTGGACTCACTGGGTCCTGCTCCCGCACAATCAGAGCGTGGTTAGTTAAGCATATTTAGAGAGAAAAACACAGAATTAATGTTTATACTTCTCCCAACAAATCCCCCCCCAAAAAAAGGGTTTATTAAAAAGACAGAATTTTTGTCAGTAGGTTATAAAATGATATTATGTGGTGTCTTTAACAGTACAACTGTAGTAAGAAGTCCTTCAAACTGAGTCCAGTGGGCAAATTTTTAAAACAAGTATGTGAAGAAACTAAATTAATAGATGTATGTCGATCTGTAAACCCTTCAGGATATGAATTCACCAGGTTTGACTCAAAAACCAAAACCCGTATTGACAGAATGCATGTATCGTCACACTTCAACGCAATAAACTATAGAACCGTATTAAATGACTTCTCATATCACCCCTTAGTAACAACAACCGTGTCTTCTCAGCTAGCAGAGGTTTCTGGAAACTAAATACTCAATGTCTAAAAAAAAAAATACAGATTTATTAAAGGAGCTAAAATGTTTATAAACAGTCAGACTTGGATAGCAGAGGGAATCTAATTCATGCTCTGAAATAAAGTCAAAAACAAATACAAGATAAATGCATTAAATGTATAAAAAACCATGAAGGTGATACTTTCTGCTGTGAAAAGGAAAAAAAGGGAAGTAATCAGAATTCTGTGTGTCAATGCATATAAAAGAATAGACAGATGTAGGCTGTGTCAATATTCTGTTGGAAACAATGCCTTCATACAGCGACTTAAACTTCACTCACCTTAGTGGAGAGATAAGAAAAGAGGAAGTGATGGAGGCCATCCAACAACTTAACGTCAGTAAAAGTCCTGACGGTCTGCCCACTGAGTTCTATCAGTTCTATAATGAAGATGTTTTAAACCTCCTCACTGCTGTGTGCAATGAAAGTATAACTATTCGCTGACCACCAATTAAAAAGATGGAAGCTCGCATGAGAATTTTAAAAATACTCAAGGGTTGCACCGTTCCTGGAGGATGTGTTTAAGTGACACTGTAAAACTGGAAACATGTTCACTGAACGCTTTACCGGTGAACAAATACAATGTAAAAGGCACAAAAAAGACACTTTTAAGAAACAAGGTATTCATAAAGCACCGCGTGGGAGTCGTCATGGTCACGTGACACGCTCTGGTCCAGCGACAATATAAATCATCACAAACTGATCTCATTTGCAGCCACGTTACAAACAGTTGCAGCACAAAGAGAGACATTGAACCAATGTCGTAAAGTGTAGTGAATGTTTCATGAAGAAGGTGTTTTTTACGGTCCGGTGATGAAGTACACAACAAGAACTAAAGAGCTCCGGTAGTCTCTAGTGGAGAACACAGCTGACTGCAGGATTCAACCCTAAACTGACCATGTGAGCCACAACAGAGTTTATCATGTTAACTATGAACTACACAATAACGCCCCATATTTCTAAATCCAAAACTAAGTAAGGACCAAAAGAGAGAGAAGCTTGCTGCTAATTACTGACATGGTTTCTTATGTGTGTGATAAGACAAAATAGCTGTTAACTAACATTTATACACAATCAATCTGTAATAGATTTTAATCATATCAGCTGAAAGCTGTCAGTGATTGTATGTATCTGAAATGAATTGAATGAAGTTTTCTTTTTTTGTCCCTTTAATTACAGGAAGTAGAATCATTTCCGGAGGGGGCGTGTCCAGTCTGTTGACATCGACGAGGTAAGCAGCAGCAGCAGTAGCATAGAAAGTAGCTCCATGACTTCCCTGTAACGGCGTCAGGAACCTCCAACGACAGCATTATTGCGGCTGCAAATGTAATTGTTTCTAACCTGCTTCGGTTTATTAATGCAACAAACATACTTTGTCTCGCAGTTTCTTCTTGGTTTGGTGTGTAGTGAGCCAGTAAGTGTGTACCCAGTACAAAAATAGCTCCTATCACTAACGGCAGAACTGGCAGTGGATCATTTATTCTGTCTTTGCAGCCGATTAATGTTCACCTCAGCTGACTTTGCTATAAGTTGTACACCTCTGTGCCTGTAGCCGAAATATTAAGCACAACATATTAAGTAGCATTAATAAATATTGATTTTTGTCGCGTGGTGTAATTATGGCCAGAGCCAGTGTTGTCCAGATAACAAAAATGTTTACAAAGGACTTCATGTACAGGTTATTCATTTATCAGAGTAACCGGGAATGACACACAAATACTTAACATTAAATGACACCAGCATCTCCCTTAAAATGCAGTGGCCAAACAATCACTTGCACAAGAACACACTCAGGTAAACACAACTTGAAGGGAACAACTTTATAGTTTTATCAGTGGTGGAATCAAAGTACTCAAGTAGGCTACTGTAGGCAACTTTAGTACAAATTCTAGGTACTTGTCCTTGTACTTGTGTTCCCATTTTATGTAGCTTTACAGTACTCTATCTCGGATATATAAATGCAGCCATTTATTAGATCCATCTCACACAGCAAAATATGACATGAACCAGTAAGATTTATGGCACCAGGAGCTTTGAAAGGTGTTTTCAAAGCTCTGTTGGAACTGTATTTAATCACCTGTACATACTCTACAGAGTCATCATCTTCCACCGTGTCTCTCTCATCTTACAGTCCTCACATGGACATGTCCTCTCCAGAGATCACCTCTCTGTCCTGGGGCCACATGAAGGTGAAGGGATGCTCCTCCAGCTACAAGGACTGTAAGGTCTGGCCCGGAGGCAGCCGGGCCTGGGACTGGAGGGAGACGGGGACCAACGTGAGTGGAGCCGGAACCATAATACACACAAAATAGACACGCAGGACTGCATGTTGACGACAGTGCTCTCACACACAAATACTATCTTGCCTTTTCCACATACCCAGCATTCCCCAGGAGTCCAACCCGCCGACCTGGAGGAGGTGCTGAAGAAGGGAATAGACTTGTTGGTCATCGGCAGAGGAATGAGTGAAGCTCTGCAGGTAAAACAGACCTACAGAAAAGGTCCATTTATTCAGGGGTACAAAGGAATACCTATCATCACTTTATGATTTATGTAGTCCAGGCAGAAGGAGTAGTGTGAGCAGCAGTAACTTCAGCATTCAGGGCACAGCAGTAGTGGAGCACATTCTCACATCTAGTGCTTAAGTAAAAGTAACATTACTGCAGAGTAGAATTACAAGTGATGGATTCAAATCTTTACCTCAGTAAAAGCACAGAATACGAACTCTACTTAAAAGTACTCTTAATGCAGGATGTCTCATTTTGGAATCATTTAGATTACATTAACGATGCATTAATGTGCTCTCACTTTAATGTTAAAACTGGGGACGGTGGACATTTCTTTTAAAAGTCTATTTTTATAGGCGGTCATCTTCTCTCTCAGGTTCCCTCCTCCACACTGGACTTCGTGATGCAGAAGGGCGTCGACGTCAGGGTCCTGCAGACGGAGAAGGCCGTTGCCGAATACAACAAACTGGCTGGCCAGGGCGCCAAGGTGGGGGGGGTCTTCCACTCCACCTGTTGATGTCACCTTTAGCCTTGCTACACCAACTGAGACGGCCTTACACGGGACGGAGGACAGCCTGCAGTGCACCATGTCCCACAGTCTGGGTTTTAGATACAGCTGGCTAGCTCTGCTAGCTTCACGCTTTTCTCAGCGTGACTGCAGACCACTGATTTAGGGTCAGATTGAAACATCTTAATGTCCAATCCATTATTATAAATCTTCTTTTGTAACAAATTGAAGATGCAATGCAACTCCATTTGATTTTACAGGCCCATTTTGTGGAATATTAAAGCACAACAACCACTTTTCAACTGTCAGCAAACAGACATATGGTCAGGTCATATGGTAATGAATGTGTAGTTCAGTGCATGTATTTCTGCTTGTTGGATACACAAAATAAAATTTGAAAATGAGTCATCTCCATCACATGGGTTTGTCTTTATCATAAACAAATTGTAAAGTACAAAAATATTCCCCATACAATTTGACACGGCATGAGTAAAGCACACTCTAGTGCTTCCTACTGCTGAACCATAAATTACTTTTACGCTTGGCCTAATTCTAAAAATGAATGTGTGGCCATAGAGTTAGAGCCTCATCTGTGTGTCCACCGTCAAGGAGTTGTGTTAGCGGCGGGCGGGTTTGGGCATGATGTAGACTTTGACGGGCTTGCTGAACGGAATGGTTCCCTCCACGGCGGCCTCCGGCGGCGAGAGGCTGTCGATGCTGTCGCTCCATCCCAGCTTGGAGGCCGGCGAAGGGGAGGAGAGGGAGGCTGAGGAGGAGCTGTAGGCCAGCAGGAGGCGCACCTCGATCTGAGACGGCTCTGAGAGAGAGAGAGATAGTCAAAGTTGATTCACTGATGAAGAGGGCAACGTTTACCAGTCTGGGGTGTGTGTGTGTGTGTCTCACTCTGGCTGATTTTAAACAATCAGGATTTGATTCATTTTAACCAGGAGCCAGTTAAAAGTAGCATTGGCTGCTATTGCTGGCGTTACCTTACAACAGGTGTGTGATTGGGGAGAATGTTTTTGACAGCTGTATTGATTTCTTTTTTTTAAAAGCAGAATTTGAGTTGGATCAGTTGATGTGTATCGATGTCTCACTCTTGAATCCGTTTTCCGTATTAAAAGAAGATGGAGAAAAACATTTTAATGTGTCACTTGAAACAGAAATATGGGGTGTGTGTGTATGATACTCACCTGTCCATGCAGTGTGTGAGAGGTAAACCTGTGTGATGAGTCTGTGTCTGTCAGGTCCAGGCTTCCTGAAGTCTCCAGGTTTGGGATGGATCACGTGACTCTGGCCGTCTGGATACAGAACCTGAAGGGACACGATGCACAGGAAGCAGCTGATTCAGACAGTTTTTTCATATCCACAGTGAACGAGTGTGTTTTAGAGAGGACATTCTCATAGTCAACATTCCTGAGCTACAGTTCACGGTTTTCCACAGACAGCTTGAACTAAACCGATCTTTTACATCCTTAACTCCAGTAGTCAACACTCTTATCATCTCTGGGGCTAGAGCAACAGTACGCAGAATAACAAACAAGTTACAATCTTACTGTGCAAGAAAAGAAAGAAATGTTGCCACAGCTTTGGTAAACATCCACATTCTGATATCAGAATACCTAACAATTTGGCGTTTGCTTGTAAAGTACAAATATCATATTACTTGTAACTGAGACGTTCTTCATGTTGAAGAGGAGGAAGTTGAGGAATCAAACACTTAAAATAAACAGCAAAAAGGAACAAACTCCCAGTGTTGAACGCTTCAAATGAAGTGTGGGAGTATGTTTTGTACTTTGTCCATGTAATATCACAGAATAAAACGTGAGTTAGCAGCCGCGACAGTTTTTACCTTGCGAGTCTGTGTGTGACGCATCGTGGCAAAATGTGGTTCTGGAGACACCTTCTGTACACAGAGTAGGTTGGAGTTCTTTGCCAGGTGTTTATATTTCTGTCTGTCTGTGTGTGTAGTTGAGATCAAAATGAAGGCAGATGTTTGGCGTCGCGGCCGGTGTGACGCCATCGCAAGATGGTCTCCAGATTATATTCAGAACTTGTACGTTTCATTTCAAGTGCTGGGACTTTGCTCTTAAAAAACTTTAGAATGAACAGATTTGCAAAACTACACCCACAATGTTTATTACTTTGACCCTTCCTTCATTACCTGATCTGAACCTGTCGAGCTTTGCTGGTTCTTATTTTGTTGCAACAAAGACCCATAACAATTAAAAAAAAGACTAATGTAATTCTTTAAAGCTAAAAATACTGAACAGCTTGTTGCAGTCTACAAAGGACTGCCGACTCTGAAGCTGAGTGAAACCCCAAAAGGTCCAGTGAGAAGCTCAGTAATATAGTTGTGCAGTGAACTGACCTGTACTTTCACAGTGTTCTGGGGATCCTGGACGTGCTCTAGCATCGCATCGATGTCCAGCGCCACCACCAGGCCCGTGGTGAACCTCAGCGGGTTGTCCGACTCCCCCGTCGGCTCTATGATGGTGGCTGTTGCCCGATGGATCTGTCGACCGGCAGGGAAAAGTTAATGAAAGCAAAGAAAAGCACTCGGTTCATCAAACTGCACACCACCGCTGGTGAGTACAAAAACATATTCTGACAGATTCATCATACTTGTTCGGGCAGCCTGAGCTGCAGCAGGCCGCTCTGTCTCAGAGTCGTCTGCAGGATCTTCACCATCTCCACCGGCTTACAGGACGACAGCCGGGGCATCAGCTCCAACAGCTTGTCCACAAAGCTGTCCTGCAGGTGGGGCAGCTCCGCCAGAAACAGCCTGAGGGTTGCAGAAGATATGGAAGGAAGAAATAGTGAGAGGAGAGCATTGAAGCATATATGGACCAACAGTAAGGAGTAGGGACATTCTACCCTGAGTCCACTATGCAAATTCAACCAGTTTCATTTGTGTCTGCCTCTTCAGTAAGACTGTCATTCCTGAGGCTCATTAGCCCCCATTCAGGTTGAAATCAATATGTCAAACAATTCCCAGAGAAAGAGAAGTTGGAAGAGATGATGAGGAGAAGGAAACACCATTCATCAAACAGAATGCAGGCAAAACAACAGACATTGAAGACAGATCAATTGTGAGAGCTGACGTTTCAGGGGATTTTTCCGGGGAACACTTAAACGGCCGGTCTGCTTTAGTCGTGTCTGTATAAAGACGACTCAAAGAGCTCCATAATGTGACAATGTGTCCAGGGTCAACAATGAACACTGAGAAGCATCACACATCTGGAACAAACTCTCAGATAACTTGATTACTCTTCCATTCCTTTAAGTTAAGGCTTAAAACTGTTCCGTTTGCCACTGCCATTAATTAGGTTACATTTTTGACTGTAACTTGTATTGCCATGTTTAATCAATTTTACCTTGTTTTTACTTATTTCATTTGACTCCTAATTGTTGCCGTCAATCCGGTTCAACTCACAAATTAAAGCTCAGATATCCTGACAGTTTGGAGAACAGAAAGACGGACATTATCAGATCATTTCTCACCTCTGGAACAACTCAATGTCCTGCAAAAACTTCTCACAGCTGCTGATGAGTGGATCCAACCTGAGGAGAAAAAAGAAACGTCTGCATACAGGTGTGGTCCACATTAAATGCATATGGTCAATGTGTGTGTGTGTGTGTGTGTACTGACCCTTGCCTGGTGCGAGCAGTCAGGACGAGCTGCAGAGCTTTGGCCTGCAGGCGAACGTGATGTATGGTGGCCACCTGTCTGCTCTCCAAACCGCTGTACAGAAACTCCAGCTTGTAGGTTTCTTCTAAGATCTACAAACACAACGACACACACACGTTTAACACAGGCGTAATACCAACATCAGGGGTGCAACAGATCATAAAAGTTGAGTCACAGATCGGATCAGCACAAACAAAAAAAATGGAGCAAAAGTAACTTTTAGAAATGTCCCCGATCACACTTTTAGTTGCTGATAACAATTGCCGATCATCGATGATCCAATATGGCAGATACAGATTGTGTTTGTGGTTTTGTTTTGTTATAGCAGCTGGTCTACAAGGCTCCAGACTATTTGTTTTCACCGCTGTCCCAAAAATCCTTTCAACAAATCAGCGGTCAGTATAAGTCATCAAAAGTTCTAAATGTTGTCCTTTCACTTTGTTGTTGTCACCTTAAGCGATTATATTCATAAAAAACACACAATTCAAATGATTGAGAAATAAGATTGTATTTTTATTGATAAAGAAATATATACCTAGTGTTAGAAAGTTAAACAAGTCATAATTAACTCTCTAATATACATTTGATGTTGTTGTGTCTCCTTCATACAACTTGATGTATTCAAGTTTCTCACTAAAGAAACTACCTTTTATGATATTAATTTTGAACACATCAGGATAAGGTTTTAATTAATTTACCTTCTGCCAATACTCATTAGTACTGAACAGAGCCTGAACGCAACTGAATGGAACCTCCGTACGTTAGCCGTTAGCTGCCCACGTCTCTAGCTCTCCTCTTGCTGATTTAAACAGATTTGTTGTTCACGATGTAACATAATCAGGGATCAGCGACTACAATACTAAACTACTGAATATATGCTGATAACGATCTGCAGTAAAACCTATTTCACACTATGATGGTTACACTGTGTAATTAATCCGCGGTTTACATGCGTCCCAAACCGTGAGGGGGGGGTGCGTACAGATCGATAGCGCACTAACCAACGTGTGTGTGCGTGCTGACCTGTTGAGCTGCTGCTGTGGCCGTGACGTTTTGTTTGAGGCAGAGAGGTACGGCCATGTTCCACAACTTCTCCTGCAGAGCCTGAGGAAACGAGGCAAAGCGAAGGTTGCTTTGAAACCACCAGTCTGTTTCCTTGAACTCCTGATAATGCATTTCTATAACAGGGTCCTCAAAGAAATATTGGTCAAAGCATAATAGACAGAAATCTCTCTCACTCTCACACACACACACACACCTTCATGAGCAGCAGCTGGCAGCGCAGGTATGTCGCACAGAATTCAGCGGCTCCAGCGAGCTCCGTCTGCAGCTCCCCCAGCCGCCGCAGGTCTCTGACAGACAGACGGGAGAAAAACACATTCACACACTTCATTCAATGTTCACCAACTACAATCACCACTTTACCAAATCAACATGGTTAAAACAATGGCATAAAACAATGGCAAACTTTGTCTGAGGGCTGGATTATTTAACTTCAGCTTTTTGCACACAGTATATCCAATTCAAATATGATGTCATGATTGTATATTTGAAGCTTCTTTCGAGGGTTTTGAATGAAGTTTTAAATGTCTGTTACATTTTATGACTTTGAATTGTAAAGTCACTGTTATGAATGAAGTTTCAAACTCTTTGGTGCAGCCCTATAAAGCATATTAATATTACCAATATTTCACTATTACAAAAACATTAACAGTAATAGCCTGGACCTGAGAGGATCAGTAAACGACGTGTTTACTGACTTTCTGAGGTCCAATCCTCAATCCTCAAAATATAACTTGAGACAATTCTAAAGCTGCTATATAAAAAAAAATTAAAAGTGACGATTACTATTGAGGAAAAGAGTATGAATGAATGAATTAAAGAAGGGCTTCCACATTGTGTGTGTGTGTGTGGTTATGCACCGTATCGTGAAGTTCAGCAGGTCCTGGGCTCCGGGTGCTTCCAGGTTCTGGATGGTGCTGACCCTGTTCAGACTCTGCTGTAGGAAGAGCTGAGCTGATTCCACTGAACCCAAACTACAACGCGAGTCCACCAAGCCCGGCAACTAAAAGAAAAAGACAGGACAACAGTTACAGGAGATCATTTTTTGTGTGCGTGTGTGTGTGTGTGTGTGTGTATACGAGTCTGGCCATTAGTCTGATAATACAACATTTGCGTCAGTGACAATGGGTCCCGTTACTCGCTGTGGGGGTGTCTACTGGGAATAGAGCTGGAACGATTAGCATTTTTTGCCCATGACGTTGGGACCTTCTGTATCAGTCATGCTGAATATAGAGTGTAAAAAAACTAAACCTTTAACGGCCCAGAGCAGGTTACTGTCAGGGGCCGCAGTACGACTGAGACCTGCAGGGTTTCACTTCTCACCCTGAGTGGCGGCACGAGGTGAGACAGGCTGTCCCTCAGGTAGACGTAGTGTCTGAAGGTGTGGTCGGAGAACAGCGCCGGCATGGTGGGACACGACTTGGCGGCGTTGAACACCAACACCAGCACCGCGATGTCTGAGGTCAACAAACAGAGTCAAGAAAGAAAAACACAGCTCACAGGTGAGTGATGAGAGAAAAAGACTATTGGAGGAAAGTTTATTGCTAATTTGTATTTTTTTTCAGGCCATAATACTTTTAAATTTCTTTAGTTTTCTGCATATTGAGATTTCCTGCCAGTTTTTGTAAAGTCACATGTCTGTACAATGACACTTTATCAGTTTATCACTCGATGATTACTAGGCACTACGGCGGCGCATGTACATGCTGCGGCCGGTAGCGCTACATTTTAGTCTTTACTTATTTTAGTATTTTTGTGTTCGTCACTAATTGCATATGACAGAATACATCCTTTAACATCTGAAGAGGAAGCGTTGGAATTAAGTGCAGAAGACTTTGAGACGATCACGGTCCACAGCCGACCAACCTGCCGGACCAAACGCCACCAACCTGCTCCAGGGAGGAGAGCCGAGATGGAAGCTAAGCTAACCCAGCTAGGACCTGAGGCTACTCCACTGTCTCGTCTTCTATACGTGATCCTTGTCCGTGCCGACAGCTTTGTCTAAATATGACACCAAGGACGCACTGCGCTTACACAGATTCATTTTTAAACTAGATTAAATCATGTGGCACCCAACTTTAAAACTAGCTTATAATTAAGTAAGTTCAATTTTAGGTTTCTTTAAAAGTCAGTTTCATTTTTATTCTAATCCTAGAATAATTGAATTATGTTGCACTAAAACCTTTAACTCATTTAATTTACTAGAAACTCACAATTGAGGAGGTTTAACAGTTAAAACAGCTGCTTTTTTTAGATGGTTTCGAGCTAATTAATCAAGTTCATCAAAGAAAGTTAAAGAGAGTTTTCCTCCCTACTTTACAGACTACTTACTAGGTCGTACAGCACATACATTTATATTTTTATTTTATTTTTGATAAGCAAGCATCTCCATATTGATTAAACTAATTTTGGTTTAAACTTGGATTTACTTTACTATCTTGCTTGTAGCTTGTATACTTTACTCTGCTGTCCACAGCCTGTAAAAAGGAAGAAACCGACCTGCCTAAAAACAGAAGTTTTAGTTGTACTGTCTGAACTCTTAACGTATTTATAGGCTGAGGCTCATGCAAGCTGCTGCCTATTACTAACTACAGGCTTAAACTACAAATGCAGAATAAGGAAAGACTGCACATTTTCTGGACAAACGGGTAATGTGGAGACTTATAGTTCAGCTGCTGCAGAATGGGGTTGATGTGGCTGGTTTGCGTTGACGTCCAAGTGTGTTTTGAGATTTTCCGGCGTGTGAAGGATACAGGCTGGATCGTCCATGTCAGGCTCTGGTGTGTCGAAGTATGGGTGTGTGCTGAGCAGCTCGGGAACCAGCGGCAGCACTAGTGTTGGGTGACGGGAACCCAGGAACTTCAGACACCTTGTGAAACAAGAAAAAAATAGATATATCAGTTTTCAGGTCACCAATGAACAGTTTCCATAAGTAACAAAACATCCTATTCAGGGCTCTATTATTGATTTGTCGCTCTAACAGGGTTGAACATCACACTCACTATGAGTATAGTGCCATATTGCCATATTGTCATCTTGAAATCTTAACCCAGCGGTTCTCAAACGTTCTTAAACCTTAAAACATCTTTAATTTTGTGTGAATTTTGGTGGCCCCTGTGGACGAAAGTGGTTTCTAGCACCAGAGTCCCTTTAGAAAACCTCTTATTGTACTGCAGCAGGTGTCAGACAGCCTGCTACGCACAGTCCTGGTTCTCCCGTGCCTCCCTTCCCTCCAGCAGGCCCAGCAGTACAGTACCTGGGCCTCCAGCAGCATGGTGTCGGTGTCGGCTCCCAGCGGGGACCGGAGCAGCAGCGAGGCAATGCTCTGCTCCTGGCTGGAGGAGGAGACCCTTCTGCTGAGCAATGAGCTCTCTTCCTCCCGCCAGAGCTTCATACTGCAGGTCGAAGAGAAGTGCAGTGAAGCCGGATCTGGGTCTGTCTACGGTGGGCTAGTCTCTGCTGGAGGACCCGCTGGAGTCGGAGTCTGATTTTACCCGGTGGCACCGATGACAAGCATTAAGAATAACTATAAATAAAATAGCCAATCTTCTCGCTGATGGTCTCGTTTACTTATGGAGTTCATATAGAGGCATCAGTACTAATTTGAGGCTGTTTCATAAAAAGTAAAAAGTTCCTTGCAGTAACTTTAATAAAGATTTTTGTATATTTCTTTCTGAAACCTCAGTACCCTAACGGTGCTGTGTATTGATGAATCCATGGCGCTGTCTGTGGTAATGAAGAAGCAAACGGATTTGTTTTCTGACAGTTTTGTCTTGGATCTATAATGGGGGGGGGTAACCAAACAGGTCCCGCTGTTCAATACTAATAAATAGCCCTTTGACTACAGGTGACTTAAAGATGTTGATGCACTGGATTGTCAGTTTCATTATCTTTTGATTATTTTGTAACTTTTGCATTCATTTTGCTTAAAAGATCATTTGCATAACTTTTATAATCATCCTGTAGAATTATCAGAACTGGATTTTAGATTTATTAAATGACATAACGTTATATATACTTTATTGTTATAATACCCACCATGGTATTAGACTGAAATAAACATCAGCATTTCCTTATTCTTTATTTACAGTGACAAATCTCTCCATCACTTGCTCTTATGTTGACTTCAATGTTCATTGTTTTTTTTGTTTTTTTATATGTCCAAAAACCTCAACATAAAATGTAGTTAATGTGAATGTCGCCTTGTTTTTTTATACGGTGACAATATTAGAAATGTACAATGAGAAAATAAACAAAACTTGCAGCACACACACACACACACACACACACACACACACACACACACACACACACACACACTTACTTCCAGACGGAGTTGCGGTCGGTGGGATACTTATTGAGGTTCTTCAGCAGCTCCAGCAGAGCCAGCTGGATGCACTCTTTAGTGGAGACGTTGGTGTAGCAAATTAACTCATGGAGGGCTTCTCTGATGTCACGAGACGAGTCCTGGAGACAGACAGTGACATCATCAATGTGAGCGTAGAACAGGCTTGTGTTTATGTGTAATGTGACTCACAAGAAAATACATATTTCAGGGTTAAGAGATTGACTGTTGGACCAGTGTGTGTGTGTGTGTGTGTGTGTGTGTGTGTGTGTGTGTGTGTGTGTACCTCCAACACAGCCAGCACAGTGTCCAGCTGGTCCTCTCGGAGTGTTATGTGGGTGGATATTTCTCTCAGCACGTGGATGGACTGCAGCCTCACTTCCTCGATCTCGTCGTTGAACATGTCGACCAGGAAGTCCAGGCACTTTTCGGCGAAGCTTGTAGATGAGCGAGCCAGCTGGGACAACGCCTCCACCGCTGCAATACGGACCTCTGAAGTAATGTTGAAGACAGTGGGAAAAGCACTCAAGTCAGAGACACTGACACTGTAAAACCTGGAAGAGGTCATGACAACATATCATGTGATATAGAAAACAAACTTTAAAAAACACTTTGGAAGTGGATGTAACAGATTCAGACGGAATATTCACTCAATTTGACAACACAAATAAGTTATACGGTCCCAGATACGTCCATCTTGTGCTACTCACCTGTAGAAATCAACAAAATCATCATATGTTAAAATACCCCATCAGTAACATCGCTCTGTTTACATCCGGTTAGACAAAGACATACGGCCCCGTGTCTCACATACCAAACATCTCGTCCTCCAGGCCGTGAACGAAGGCCCCGCAGGCCCCCGAGGCGATGAGGTAAACCGTGTTTCTGTCCAGTTTCTCCTTGGGGGCGTCGTCGGCCCACTTCCTGCCGGAGGAGAACTCTCCAGAAGTGAAGAGCTCCTTGGCCCGTTCGTGGGCCGTACGCTTCCTCTGGAACACAGAAACAGGAGAGTGAGTGGAGGTGTGCTCATTAACATAATTAGAATTTCTTGTCTCACTCACAGATTTTTAAATAAAAAGGCATCTTGTGAACGAACTTCCATGACTCACCCTGAGATCTGACATCAGCTTCTTATCCAACGTCTGCTCCAGGAAGTGAGGACTGACCTGCAGCATCGAACCCTGGTGCACGAGAAAAGATTCAACAAGTTTCACTTACGATTGTTAAATACAAAAAAAATAAATAAATAAATATCATACAACTGATCTGAGAGGAGTCGCCACAACAAATTGGTTAATTCGTCATTTATAACAAATACATATTCAGGCTTGTGCCAGGTTGGAAGTGTTACAGGGTACAGTGTGTATTATTTAGGTGGAATTATTGGCAGAAATATAATATTAACAAGTATGTTTTCTTTAGCGGATAATCGCCTGAAAATGAGAATCGTTGCGTTTTCGTTAGCTTAGAATAAGCCGTTTATATCTACATAGGAAGCGGGTCCTTTTCCCAGAGCCGGCCGCCACATTTCTACAGTAGCCCAGAACGGACAAACCAAACACTGGCTCATGTGTTGAAGGGGCTCTAGTGATAAAATGGGTAGAAACATGGAAATGTTAGAACGTAACATTGCCTTTTTTTTTGTGTCAATTAGTTTCTTTTCTGTATTTTGACATGCATCAATTTGATCATAAATGTATTTATAGAGATGTCATGATTACTTATGTCTTCCAAGCCAAACAGCTACCGTGGTGCAGCAGCTAGGTTGCTATCATGCTAACATGCTGTGGCCGTGCACGCAATTTAGGCGAGTGTGTGGGACCGCGATATCACGGCTCCACCCTCCGATTACTACTGCGCAGACTCAGGCTCCAAAAACATCACCAAGGCAAGATGTCAGAGCCGGTATTCTGTTTACTCTGGCTTCATTTTTGTACAGTATATACACAGTTTATGGTCACATCACTCACCAGTGTTTTGGCGGCCTGCACCCGGACCATCCAGGAGCCGTCGCTGACCATGTGACTGATCTTCCCAAAGGCATCATCGACAAGCCGGATCTCCTCGTTGGACGACGGGATGGGAACAATGCTGATTGGACAGATGGAACTAGTCAGGCAAAGCTACTACAAACTTGTGCCACCAATCAGTTAAGTCAATGGAGGTCAATGGGAATTTGGAAATGAAAAGGAACATTTTATTTACTATGAAATATTTTATATTCACGGTAACTCGCTAACCAGATCAAAATATCAGCAATCAACATTACAAATAAATACTATCAAGAGCATCATGGGAAACAGGATGTAAAAATCGCATACATTTCTTTTTCTTTTTCAAAACACTTTTCTGGGTTTCCGTTTTTAAAGCCAGTGACAATTCTTACAGATACGAGTGTCCCTTAGCACTGTAACTCTACAGCTTGTGCTGACAGTAAGTCACTCTGAACATCACTCTCACCTTTCCGGGTACAGCTGACTGAGCACCCAAACAATCTGCACCGCCGCTGAGCGGACCTGCTCGTAGTCATCGGTCAGCAACCTGCAGGCCTGCAAACACACATACACACGTGTTACATGCTCACAGCCACTGTCGCTGAGATGGATGCTGATGATTAACATCATGAACAGTTCACCGAATGCCTAAAGACCTTTCTCATGGCAGACAGTCTGTTAATACCATTACTTTATTATCAATCTCCCACAGAGAGAAATCCGTTTTGCAATAGTCAAAATATCCACCATGAGGTAGGTCTGTTCACTCCGGGATTTCCATTATTTTGGTAGGTGCCAGTAAAGATGCAGGTGACAGATACGGGTGACAGTGCTGTTACCTGGTCATAGATGATCTCATGAATCTTCATCCCTCTCTCATGCAGCTGCAGCTGGAAAGCAAACATACAGAATGAGCTGTTATGTAAAGAGAATAATCACTGGTATGACAGCAGAGTGGGTTTTCTCACTGCTGGTGTCTGTGTGGTCCCTGAATACACGAGTGTGGTGCTGGTGGAGTTGTTTAGTGAGTGTAGGGGATGGTGGTGCCCTACCATGGCTTTGAGGGCTGCAGTGCGAACTCTGGGGTCCTGGTCTCCGAAGTAGTCGCTGATGATACTCTGGACGTCCCTCACTCCTCCTGGAGCACCGAGAGAAAAACATGCAACAGAAGCATGACACACACATCACACACCAAGTACAATCATGATCCATAAATGAGAGTTCATTTGAGTTTTGACTGTAATGGCAGACATTTCAAAGCTTTTGAGTATTTTCCTATCAACCTTGCAATGAAAGAAATACATAAAAGGTGAAAAAAACCTAAAAAACGGGCCTAACAGATTACACGTTCTTCATAGTTTTTAGTGTCTGATATTCTGTTCACACCGGCCAATTCTGCCCTTACCACCTATGTATGTGTGTATGTATGTGAATCAGAATCATTCTATATTGACAGGCAAATGCTCGGTATTTGCAATCAGCATACTGCCACGCCTCCATTTCTCTACATAAGGAAATGCGTATCATGACACCTAAATAAAGGCTTATCTTATGGAGGAGGCGGTGAAGATGTTGTAAGAGAGAGAGAAGCATGGCCCCGAAAGCAAAAGGCAAAAAGAAAATAGCGACTCATTAGCTACAGATGCGCAATTTTGTGGCACTAGTAATTGGTTGGTGTAGCCGATCATTACAGACCAAGTAAATAAAACCAAAACTACTACATTTCAATATGGACATGCTCCATTGAATAACTCCAAGCTAGGACTGGTACACTCAGTTTTTAAAGTTGAATATTTTATAATAATTGATGAGGATGAAATGGCGTGAATTTAATAGTTATTTAATATATTTGGCCAACGCATTAGGAGATTCTTAACAATGGTGTTGTCTATTAAAGCCTTTTTCTAATGAATGCCATTTTAATAATGAGATGAATTTTGTAAAAAGGTGCGCGTTTACATTTTCTATGACAGCCTGGTCTGAGGCAGTTCTAAAAGTATTGATGAATCCCGGATTTGTGCACAAAAGGTAAGGAAATCTTTAAGTAAGGAAAGTCACAGTTCAGCCATCATACAGAGCGACGGCACAAACCTAATGATGTACCAACTCCCTCGTTGTCTTTGGTCAGCGGAGTGTCCACCATGCCGAGACATCCGAGGAGCTTCAGACACTTGTTCCTCACCCCGAAATACGTATCAGACAGGTGCTGAGAGGAAAGAAAGAGAAGAAAAATAACACAGAGGAGATTAGTTGCTTTGTGCAGAAAGTCCTGTTGAGTCCGTTACGTCTATAAAGAACACTTAACGGTGAGGTACTGTCTACGAAATGTCTGCGTGTGTCACCTTGCAGGCCATCTCTATGAGCCTCTGTCTGACTGCAGGACTCTCAGGTAGTTGTGTGCCAATGACCAGCAGAGTGTCCAGCAGCTGGGCGAGGACCTGATGGGACTCTGCAGACAGAACGGAGCAAACAGACACTTTGTTAGCTATTTATAGGTGTCTTTGTGGGAGGGGACAAATTATGTTAATATAGTTTCACTTTATGTTAAAGTGCAAATAGGTGCTTTGATCCGATTCGGCAGATCTAGTTGCAATTTCCACTTCTCCTTTAGGGAGGTCACTGAAACGTTAAACTCAACAGGCAGTGCTCGGAGAAGAACAACAAAACAAAATCTGAGTATATTTCAAGGGGATCTCTTTCCCAACTGCTAACAAATATTGTAATAATTTCCAATTATGAATCTAATGTGCATGTGTGTAGATATGTGTGAACGTGTCTTACTCTCATTGTTGAGCGTGTTAATGGCGTCGTCCACAATGCAGTCGGGGCTGAAGCCCTGCGTTTTGGACAGCAGACCCAGCAGAGAGGCGATCTTCAGTCTCACCGAGTTATCTGTCTCCTGGGAGAGGACATCAGCATCAGATGTGCTTTGTCTGTGCAGCTTAGCTCAGACTGAACATGAAGACATTGTAAATTGTGCTAAAAGCCACAGGCTATGTATGAGCTCTTTTATTACAACCTTGCAGAGATTACCTTTATATCTATAAAGCTCTGAATAAGCAATGGATATTCACACGTGCTCCCGGTTATGACCCATACATAGTTCATTACCTTGTAGTAGTGCTCCAACAGGATCCTGATCACACCCTCCACGCTCTCCACCTCCACAGGCTTGCGTGCAAACTGCAGCAGGTACTGCAGGGCATCTGTGGGGTTGGTGGCCTTGCAGAGGTCGATGTGCAGAGCCGCAGACTTGCTGGGTTTGGACAGACGCAGCTTCTTGGCTGGAGCTTCTTCATGGGGAATCTGTCAGCATAACACAAAGCTATGTTTTACAGGGAGCAGGCGGCATCCTCGTTTCCCCTCAAGGTGTGTGATCTCTCCTCCTCTGTTCAGATCTGACCTATTTATTCAGCAGTACTCTGTCACATGTGAACATTTTACAAACATGGACACTATTTTCATTTCTGCTTACATACTTTTACTTTGTTTTAATGCAGAACTTTGACTTGTTGTTAAGTACTTTCACAGCCGGGTATTAGTAACGTACTTTTACTTAACGTTACTTCTTCCACCACTGACAGTCAGCACACAAACACCCTGCTGGTCTCTTTCATAGGCTTACCAGTGTGAAATGCGTCTGTCAATACAGGTTGCGTCATAAGAAACCACTAACTAGCAACAATGACGTTATACGCCACATAAACGGATTTTATTTCACTATTGCTCACTTTGATATCTTCATCTTAAAATTAAGCTAACGAGTATTATCAGTTTTGAGGTTAGCTTATTGGTGTTCAGGCTAATCTAGTCACACAGTACCTCTAGTACCTACGCTAACTTAGACGGTCAATAACTGACACTATAATATCATATATACAATATTTATTTTGTAAACATATCACAGAGATGACCTGCGTTGCGTTGTGGCTGTAAGCGGCATGCTGTTGTTGTGGTTGGGTTAACGTTAGTTAGCCATTTAGCATTAGCTAACAGGCTAGTTTGCTCTCTAGCGCAACCTTCAACGTTCACGTTGGGTGACAGTTTACAGAGAGGAACGATGAAATGGGGTTCATGTGCTCACCTGTACAGTTCTAGAAAATTCCTCATAAACTCGCTTTTTCAGGTGCGCTGCCATGTTCAGGGAAAGATGACTAGCCAAGTGTTCTAATCAGCATTCAGCCAGCAACATACATTTGTCCCTTTGTACTTCCCGTAGCTACGGCAGGAAAGGTAAAAGGCGTTTTGTAAATTACTCTTGTTCTTGTTTACTCGCTTGTTTACATGACTTTTTACTACATGTCATGACCATGAACGCTCTATTTATTTGAAGCCAGTGTGCACAGGAGGAACAATTACAGCAATAATAACCCTTTCAATGAACATAACGATATGATATTCAAGATAGACTTCGAAAACTGCGAACTTATCCTATGAACCCAGCTTTATATATTGCAGGCAGATCACAGTCAATTTTTAATGTTAATATATTTGGCAAATACGTGGGTACAATTTTACAATTATCTGCTACACTTTAAAACAAGTGTACACTTTAAAACAAGTGATCTTTTAAATTTAGCATAAACTGATTATTTAGAATAATGTAAAAGTGTTAATTCAAAATAGTTACTTCTTCTTTATTCAAGTTTCATCTTTTAATAGTTGGTTTCATTATTTATCACACTGATCATTATTTTCCAAATTAACTGATTATGTATTGAGAAAAATGTCCAGTTCCCTGTGACTTCTTCAGAGGTTTTATTTTGTCAGTCAAACTGTCCAAAACCCAAAGTTAATCACTTTACAATGATACAAAACAGAGAAAAGCAACAAATCCTCACGCTGCAACGAGAGCGTGATTGGTGGTTTTGCAAGAAAGAAATACTTCAACAATTAACCATTTATAAAAACAGTGGCTGCTTGATTTTCTGTCAATTAACAAACGGACTAATTATTTCCACGCTAGTTGTAAGTTTTGTAATGTGGCTGATTAAACGTTTATTCAAAGATTATACAGGTACAATTAAAGGCACTGTTTTAGAGAATACAATTCAATGTGGATACATATGTTCATAAATGTAATTATTTAACACTGCCACACAACTTGCATTAAATTACTACATTTAAAAGTAATAAGCCTCACCACATTTATTCGTAAGGCAAGTCATCCTCTTCTAAACGAATGAACTCGTTCATTATTAAAAACAGTTTAGGAACTGATGTCATCGACAGAAGCACACGACACCGACTCTGTTTTGTCAGTGTCATGATGACCTGCAGAACCATAGCTGCCGCAGCAGCCGCCTTGCTCAAAGGCACTTCGGCAGGATGTTTTTTCTTACATTTGGTTGAACCTATTACACACCATCATTCATTAACACAGACTCTACAGCGACCCAGTGTTTTAATATTATATATTTAATGTATATATATAATAAATTCAAAGCAAAGAAAAGGAAAACGGTTTCTTTCTCTCAAGTCTTCATAACTCAAACACACTAATACTATAAATTGCACAACTACCACTACAACTAATTATACTTCTGTTACATACAACTAACACGACTGCGCTTCTTTCAGCAACAATCACTGCTTTCTGCTCATTACCTCTTCCCATTCCTGCATAATTTGCCTAAAACGCGAATCAACCGTGTACCCAAAGTAAACTGACAGCTCTTATTGAACCATTGGGAGTACATGTATGGTTTTAGTTTCTATTGAAAGGTAACACTCTGAAGTTTCTTCACAATCAGTCAGAATCACTGTAAGTGCTACTAGCATTGAGCTATGGCGTTTTCAGCAGTGAAAGAGAAGCATTTTATTTCCGCCTAGATTTGTTTTGGCCAACAGATGGCAGCAGCTATCTATAGCTGGGACTTAGAGTCTGGAAAAGACTCTCATTCCACAGCTAACAGTCATGACACCTAGTATAAGTTAAAATTTGATAACAATACGACAGAAAATTGATACTTTAATGATACTTTACACGTGGTTTACTAAGAGTGCAGCGGCGTAAAAGCGTATTTGGAGGCTCACGTGATCACATCAAAATGCATAAACTACATGTTCGAAATTCAAACTGTAGCTTATTTATGTTGATGTCTGGTTAACTATATCATATTTAACCATTATCAACTTCCACAGATACTTGAAAATTCTCATGAACCAGACATTAGTCTTCATGCTCTGTCCCAAGAACTTGGCTCATGGTTTCCAGTTCAGGTTAGAAAACTTTCCCAGCATTCAATCTGATAAATCTGCATATCCCTGGCTTCGTAATTTCATTGGCTATATGGAGCCTGAGTTTGAACTGGATCTGTTGCGATTGGCTCGAACTATACCCAAAGAAGTGAGGTGGGCATTGTCTTTCAAAGTGGACTCTCGTTGGCTGTTCCAGACTGTGGCCGGGCTATGGAAGCTCCTATTGGGTCAAATGAGGTGTCACTCTAACCGGCGGAATGTAGGCTCCATTTTGTGATGAAAATCTCCGCTCTGTTGACACGGACGTTAAATTATGCCCGAAATATGATCGCGAGTTATCATATCTGCTGGCTAAATGATGAAATGATGCAACAGCCCCCCCGTGGGTCTTTATGGACGTACTAATGTGTTTTGGACTAAATCTTTTACTGGATTTGATCGAGTGGACCCTTAGCCACCTAGCAAGACCGTTTTTGCTGGACTAGCATGCATGAGGGAGACGTTATGAATCATAATCGGTGAGTCACGGCGATATTTTATCGGCTATTTTTGGAGTGCTTGTTTGACAGAGACGTTAACTGTACCTGCTGTTGTTATTGTATCTTGAAATGGTTTGCAGAAATCGAATTACAAGAACCGTAGCTTTCTAATGAGATATCACATTAATACTCATCGTTACAGGGCAGTTGTGTGCATAACACAAATATGCAGTTATCACTCTGACGGCCCGCGGGCGGGCAAGAGGTTTAATAGCAAGGAAGAAAAGATGAGTTGCTCAACATTTTGATGGGGACTTTAGATGGGATGCCTTGATGTTCAGAAAGTATCGCATCAAAAACATGATGAACAATTATGATTCATTACACCCAGAGGAGGGGGAAGCTGTTCGATGCCAAAAACTACAAACGGAAATCAGTCAGATTTGCTCACAATTGAGGAACATCTTCAAAGTTGAGGCTTGCTGCTTGCCACTCAGCACAGCTGCCATTCCGAGACATTTAAACATTTAAACAAATGAAATCTCACCATTTTCTCTTTCCTTTATCTGCTCTGTTCAGATATCTCCAGTTTTTGTTTAATTTCTGATAATAATACCATATGTGATATACATTTGCAAACTGTTTTTTAAGCTCTGTTAATTTTAAAGGTCTACTACTGCCTAATAAATCCTATGACCAAAATCTTGCAGCCATAAAATATTTAAGTTTTATGGTCAATTTCTGCCGCCACCCAAAATTGTTTTAGTTTTTTAGTTATAACACGTCTACAATGTCTGTGATCCATGAAGATTTAGGGCTTGCAAAATTAGCGAAATCCAGTTTAACAGCAAAAAAAACACAAAAACAGATTCAGGGATGAACAGTCAGTTAATTTCCTGCAGCTTGATGCCAGCTGCAGATGCTTTGGCCCTCTTACGGTCCCCTCTCCATGTGAAGAATCCCACTGTGAGCACCATGACCGGCAGAGCCACACAGAGCACGATGCGGCTGATGGGCAGCTGGACTGGACCATCTGAGGAGGACGAAGGAGGCGGAGTCTGGGCGGCGGGAGGATTTTGGAACAAAAAGGCAGAAGTGAAGTCCTGAAACGCAGCCCTGCTGTTCTCTCGGTCTCTCACCTGACACCTCCACTTCCTGTTGTTGTCTTCCCTCTTGAGTTCCGTGACCAGAGTGATGTGGCAACTGGTGTTGAAGATCAGCTGGTGCCTGTGCAGAGGGGGGAAACAATTTAAAAACACGTGGATGAGCCACTCTGTTGCACTGGGTGACATGTTCCTTCATGAACACATGCACACACTAGTTTATTTTGACTCAATCTCACACCGTCCTGCTGTCACAAATACTCAGTAGAGCACTATATGTGGATTAATCCGCCGCTGAAAATAGTCCCCAACAAATGCACTAATTCCTCCTGCTTGTTTGATAAAAACTATGAGCAGCTGTTTGTGGGAATTGTTGACAATAAGAAAACTAAATCATCCTTTAATGTTAAGAATACTGATGATTAAATACAGGTTTGTGCTGCAGAATAATGTGCGGAAGCCAATTTCACAAAAATATAAAAAAAATTCTCATGACCTTTCAAGTCAATCCTAACTTTTCAACTATTGTAACTAATTGTATTATCTATTCTATCTATTATCAACTTTGATATTATTATTCTTTTTGTGTTTTGTATTTCATTTTGTATTATTTATTTCACTACAATTTTTTCAAAGCAACAGTTTGTTCCATCCATCCATGATGGTTATTAGTTTAAAACTAGTAATCATTTTGGTTAATAAAAAGTTATTTTCCTCAATAATGTATCACACAACACAATCAGTGTTAACGGAAACAGGACAGTAAACTGAGAACCTGGTGTCGTTGCGCAGCATAGCACCGTCCTCAGCCGCCCAGTTGAGGTTGAACGCGGTGGAGGGCCGCCTGCAGAGCACAGCGTCGTAGTAGGTAAAAAGGGTGCAGCTCAGGGCGAGGCGTCGTCCGGGCTGCAGCTCGGTCACGGTGGAGGGTGAAGTGATGGCAAGGACAGAGACGTAAACGGCGGTGATGGACTGTCCGTGCTGCAGGCAGACGTAGGAGCCGGCGTCGTCGGCGATGAGGTCGTGGAGGGCGAGAGAGCAGTTGGGCGCGACGGACAAGCGGCTGGACTTGTCTGAGTCCTCCCGTACCCGCCCCCCGCTGACCTCCTCAATGTAGCGCTCCCCGCCTCGGTAGAAGGTCCAGGAGATTAAGGAGCAGTTGAGGGAGGCCGGGCTGAAACACGGCAGGAGGGCGTCGCCTCCAATTCTGCTGTACAACAACACTGCATCTTTACTGCACCGCACAACTGGAAACACAGAAGTCACAAAAATGACAACAGTACAAACTCATTTTCATTTTATGAAATCAGTTTCTAATTAAAAAATCCACAACATTTGACTACAACTTTCAAAAGCGGAGACATGGAGGATTTTAAATAACATATAATGAAAATATCCCTGAAGCTCTTGGCCAGCATCGGAAAAATGTAGGAGGGGGCTGGATATATTCACTATGGTAGATTGGATGATTTATATCATATAAAATAATTAAAATGTAGAAATCATTAAACCGAGTGGTCTTTGACTGCAAAACCAAACACTGTGACCAAATCTCAGGAACAGATGTGAACCTTACCAAATCCCTTGGATAGGCTACTGTACTTAAGTACAAGTTTGAGGTAGGCTACATTTTATGCTGCTCTATACTTATACTCTATAATTCAGCTGAAAATATCTAATCCACATTTATTTGATAGATGTACTTTTCAGATTAAGACAGAAAATAAGATTATGAAATACGATGCATTGTTAACGTGTTTGGTTTGCTCCCTCCCCTCACAAAAAAAACACTTGCAGCCTCCGACATGTTTTAGATGAGTTCTTCTACCTGGTCAAATTATCCAATGTATAAATAAAAAATAAAAAAAGGTGAGAGAAATATCCAAAAAGTGAATTTAGCTTTTTTTTCTTCTTTTTCTTTCATCTCCCATTAATCAGATCGTCTCACCCTTTTCGATGGTCAGAACCATGACTTTCACTTTGTGCATTTATCAGATTACACTTCTGGACATATAGCCTAATAGAGTATTTTTACATAGTTATATACTTTTACTAATGTAAAGTACTTCTTCTACCCCTGACTAAATAAAAGCGTACCTGTTAGAAGCAGACTGGCGAGCAGCAGGACTCTCATCTGGTTTTCTCTGGACTTCATGTCAGAGGTTTCACCTCTACAGCAGCTCTGTTTGTCTCTCTGCTGCTCTTCCACCTCTACAGCAGCTCTGTTTGTCTCTCTGCTGCTCTTCCACCTCTACAGCAGCTGTTTGTCTCTCTGCTGCTCTTCCACCTCTACAGCAGCTGTTTGTCTCTCTGCTGCTCTTCCACCTCTACAGCAGCTCTGTTTGTCTCTCTGCTGCTCTTCCACCTCTACAGCAGCTCTGTTTACATTTCCTGCATTACACAGAACTGATAGGACACACGCATCTGCCTTCATCTTTACTTTTGTATTTTATTTTACACTATTTATTTTATTAATAAAAAAGTATTCCATTCATTGGCTTAATATTAAATCACCAACACACCCGTGTCACATCTTTTAATACAAATTGCAATGTTTCTTTCAGCATTACACTTTTTTATAAAAAAAATATATGTACATATATATCTTTTTTGTATAAAAAGTATTAAAATGTTTGTTCTATTGTTGATAGCTAAGCATTTAGTTAATTTGGTGCATTTCCAAGATCTTGTTTTTCCTTTCTAGTTTCAAAGGTTCTTTTAAGTCAAAAATATAATTGTTCAACTTCTTCCTAAATTGTCACATTGCTTATAAATTCACTCTTGTCCTTGGAAAGAGGAGTTTGAAAAAATAACCAGAGCGCCACTTACCAGCTTTCTCCAGAGCTTTCAACAGGGTCTCATGCTGATACAGGCAGCTGGACTTCATCATTAAGCACAATTGAAAATCTAGTGAGTGGACTTTGAGTTTAGATTATTTTGTCAAACCACTCTCACTCTCCTTTCATTTAATCCATGTGAATAGTAACGTACTGCTTCTACAGTTTTACTTTGTAGAACAAAACCTGCCACCTTGAATTAGAACAAATACCATCAAATAAAAAGAAACTTACAAATGAAATGCAAATTGTTGAAACAGTTTTTCCTTTGAAATGAATGTCTGGCACTTTGTTGATCCCGTGATTCCCTGTGACGTGTGATGTTTTTCTTCTATGCTGCTGTAACAACTGGTTGTCAAGATACTGACACTGATTCATAAAAAGATGGTTGGAACTGAACACAGATTCTCGTGGTGTCATTCAGCTGAACCATCTTTGTTGGCATCAATTAGAGACATGGAAACTCTGAGCCTGCTGAGAGAAATGGCACATTTCTAAAGCAGAGAGAAATAAAAGCATCCACTTTTCTTTTCATATGATCCAAGGTGTGAAATGCAACAGTGTGCAACCACCGGGGTTTTTATTTAAGAGGAAGTGCGATTGTGTCACGCTTTGGTTAAAACTATACGACTGGTTGCACGTCCAGGCTCATTTCTGTGAACTCACTTTGCTCATCAGCTCTAAACACAGCCGGGGCTCATGGGAATAGCATTCATTTTGCAGGTCGTTGGTCACAAACCAAAGTATTGCACAAATTGAAATGTTGACATGATGATGACGCTACATGGAAAGTCAGGATAGAAGTTATTACAATTCGACCTGAACGGAACATGAACGGCGGCAATCCGTGCTACACTTAACCCAAAACCACAAGTGTCTTCGTGGTGGGTCGGGGGTGTAGGATTCATCCTCTAGGGCAGGGGTCTTCAACGTTTTTCAGGCCAAGGACCCCCAAACTGACCTATATATATTGTATAAAATTGTGTTTTATATTAAATGGGCCAAGTGCCATGTATAAACATACCTCTTTATTGTGCATTCAATACTAAGCTATTCAAACAATACACAGGTTCATATATTCATGTTTATATTTTAAACATGTGCAAGGTACAGTGAGTAGGGAGGCCGTGCCACTGCCATTTATAAACATACCTTGTCAGCTGATACCAATGCCAATATCAACATTGTCTGTTAATTGCATGATGATCATGCATACAAGCTATTCACATTGATGTTTTCATTTTAAACCTAAATGTGGAAACGAAAAATGAGTGATGGCCTATTAGTGCCACTGCCATGCATAAACATACCTGTTATCTTTCATACAATACTGAACTATTAAAATAATGGACAGATTCATGTTTAGAGAATTATTATTTTTTTTTTTAATTGTCTAATCAACCAAAAATTTCGCGGACCCCCTGTTGAAGACCTCTGCTCTAGGGATCAAAACCCTCCGAGCTATTTCAGTCTGGACCCAAGTGGTGAACCGACTGATCAACCGACCAAAGCTGTGATCCAAAAAAAGAGTTTTCTTGCTTTAACACTTTCACACAAGATATATTAAAAATATACACAACTCCAACCGTTTTCTTTCCTAAAAGGAAACCAGCTGATGCTTTAATTACACCATAAGAGGGTGAAGCATCAAGTGTTGGTTATACGGATATCCTGCGAAATTATATTATTTTCATTAGTGGATGGTGCTCTAAATGCAGCTCTGGAGAAATTCAGGAGCAAACACAGGATACTTCTAATTCAATCTTTTTAAACATAAAATATTTCAGTACAAACAAACAAAAAACGGCCAATGAGGCATGTTGTCACGTGTTATCAGACACCGAGGTGGATCTCATCCAAACAGTCACAGAGCAGACAGGAGGACACAACAAGGCCCTAATCTCAGACCTCTCTGCTGCCGGACAGTATTTGCACTCACTGTTCTGTTAACTGTTGTTTTTCACACTCTGATCACACAGGAAGTGGTCTGACATGAAGCTACGCCGGCTGGTAGAGACCCTGCCCGGCTCTGCGGTTAATACTGAAGCCTCTGCTCCACTTTCTGTTGACATGCGCGTTCAGCTTTTCTGTTTTTCAACCTCTCTTTGTTTCTTATAATCCAAGTGGTGGCTTGCCCGACGCTGTGGCAGAATTTCCCCTGCATGGTACGACGCATGGATTGAGGTATTTCTCACACCAAACTGATTTGCCGAGAATCATTTCGGAGAAACAGATTTTCACTTCACTTGTTTAAGAGCCACAGTCACTGGTAACTTTTCATGGTTAAGATTTCACGCACACAAAACGTATGTTTCCAAAATGTGATCCATTCATACAGATCCCAACTGCCAAAAATATATGAAGTAGTTAGAATAAGCTCCAACTACAACATCATAGTAGAGTTTACAGATCAACACCTGAATTATAATAGAATGACACTGACAGTAGCCACTCTCTATTAACACCATACTTCTGTAATTTTACTTACTGGCGTTATTTAAATACTTCGTTCACCACTGCACAAAAGCAGTTATTCATTGTAGGGCTGCTCATTATTACATCATATTGTCCTGGTGTTCGTGTTAATATGTCCATTCCCTTGTAGCTGGTCAATATGTGAGACTATACTTCTAAACCTTGGAAGTGAAAAAAAGCTTTTTTGTAAAGTTTAGTAGTTGTCCTTTATTCAAATTTAGCTGCAGATTTCACTGACATTACACAGGATATGAAAAAATATCCATATTTATCAGCACCTAAAATAAGACATAAGACAAAGTTCTTTGTGGTGAACCACACCACCTTTGATATTCATTATATACACATGCTTTACTGACCCCTTGTGTCTAAAATGGCTAGTGTGCAAAATCAAGACCCACTTCTTTTCATAAAGGTGCATACAGTTTTTAAAGTGTTTAGGAACGACTTGCAGCAACTTTCTAAATGCCGTCTGTTCTTTTGCCAGATATTTACAGTCACCGCCTCTGCTCTGGATCATCACCACCAGGTGAACGTGAGTTTGTGGAAGAAGTCGTAGCTCCTGGACAGGAAGTTCTTCTCCACCACGTGAGGCTGGACGCTCACCCTGTAGCCCCGACTCTCGATGTCCATCTTCACGCAGTCCAGCAGGTCCCCGACGGACAGGGCGGACTTCCAGGGCCCGAACGTCACCACAGACTCCTTATCCGCCTCCAGGCTGCTGATGGCGTTGTCATAGAAACCCAGCTCCTCCTCCGTCTGCAGAACGCAGATCATGATGGTGGAGCGGCGGGTGGCGATGGCCTCGGCTCTGGCGATGCGAATCAGCACCTGGGAAGAAGAGCGAGATTACTGCGTTCATCTAGTAGCCAACTGGTGGGTTTCAGCAAAAATGTCCCGGTGGAGAGTTGCATCCAACAACTGGAGTCACATGAATCGGGAGAAGCCACTGGAACTATGTTACAACTTTAAATGAGTGTTTTCTTTTAATAGTTGCGTTGGCGTTACTTTACATAGATAACAGGAGTTGCATGGATCATTTAATCATTCTTGTTATTGTCATATTACGGTTACAGTTTGTCTTTGATCCTGACATATTTCACGAGTGATTAATAATACTTATACCAGATCTCTTGTTCCTAAAAATAATTGTATTTTATCTGTAAGTCGACCTACAGAAACAACCAGCCATGAACGAACAGCGATGGTTTTCGGGCAAAGCAAACAGGAAACACGAATACACAGTGCGTTTGTCAGACTAGAAAACATAAACCTCGTCAGCTGTTGTCAAAGACTCCAACCAGAGGCTGTAATATATTGTGATGATGACAGACATACTGAAGACACATGGGAATAGTTTTGAATTACTTCTGTAGTAAAAGTTACAATCTCAGATATGTGTATGCAAATATTACATTTAAAACGTTCCCAGAAAAAAACTAAAACAACCCATCTGAGTTAGTGATGTGTCAGCAGTGAACACAAGAGACGTTGGTTATTTAGCATGAGCTCAGATTTCTTTGTCTTTTACAGGTGACACTTTTTTTTCTCTCATCTGCTAATCCTGGAAAATGAAAGAGTGCCACCTGTAGAAAACTCAAACTATCAACACAAAAAAGAGCACAAAGTC